GGCCCTGGTCGGGCTCATAGCAGGGCCGATTGGGGAGTTGGGGAGCCGCCCCCTGTCATGCACAGAGCAGGGCGGATTGGGAGGTTGTGATGCCACCCTCAGTCACGCTAAGGATAGGGCTGATTGGGGGGTTGGAGCACCACCCCCTGTCACACTCAAGGCAGGGTAGATGGGGAGGTTACGGTGCCACACCCAGTTACTCACAGAGCAGGGCCCATCAGGAGGGTTGGGGCTCCGTACCCTGTCACACACAGAACAGGGTCAATCAGGGGTTTGGGGAGCTCCCCCCTGTCATGCACAGAGCAGGGCCCATCAGGGGGTTGAGGAGCTCCCTGCTGTCATCACAGAGCAGGGCCTTGAGTATGTGGAGGCTGCTTTAGACACGAGACCCCAGGTTACCGAGTCAGGGCGCGTCTCTGCAGCTCTTCAGTCGCGCGGTCCCCGCCGCCTTCCTCCCTCTCCTTTCCCCCTTCCCCGGCCCCACGAGCGGTCCCCGCCGCGCCTCACCGCTGCATCCCCGCTCTCCTCAGCTCCGCCCGCCACGCCGGTCCCCGGGTCGGCCGGCTCGGGGCTGCGGGCGCGTCGCTTCCCGACGGGGCTCGGGGAGAAGAAGGAGTAGAGAGTCTTCTGGCCGATCATCCCGAAGCCGCCCGGGGACCCGCGAGGCTGGGGGAAGCGGAGGCGCGCCGCCCGGGGTCCCGCGAAGCTGGCGTTGGCGGTTCGCAATTGGCGCCAAGCCGCGCGCGCATGCTCCCACCGAGGGGGTGGGCTGGGCTGGGCTGGGCCGGGGGCGGCGGAGGGCGCAATACGCATGTGCGGGAGGGGCGGCTGGAGGCAGGGTTTCCTGAGGTCGTCCGTTCATTTGTTTACTCTTCATTCACTCATCACACCTTTGCCTTGGGGCAGGTCCCCGCATTCTCCTCCCTGTGGAGGGGGAGGAGGGCGGAGAAGAAAAGATAAAAGTACCTGCCAGGTCAAGTAGGAGTGGGAGTGAAATTAGCATTTAAATAGCATTTGTTGAGCTCTTAGATCTACTGCATTATCTCATCCAATTTTCACAACCCATTTTACTGACCACTAGCTAAGGCTAAGAACAGCCCAACTTACTGTGCCTTACCTGTAAGTTTTGGGGAGACTTTGAGGACGTGAAGGTTGACCTCCAGAATAGTCATCCTCTGTAAGGCACCCCCGCCCCCCAATACACCTGCCTGTCATTCCCTCCCCATAGCCAAACCATCAACAGGTCCAATTGGTTGTCTCCAAAAGAAAGCCTGAATTCAGCTGCTGCTCTCTCCATCTCCTGGCTAAAATCCCAGAGGGTCACATCTTTCAAGTGATCTGTTGGAAATGTAAAATTATTCATAATAAAACAAACAGTTTCCAAATATGCTTTAGCCTAGAATGCCAGCTCGTCCCTCGTGTGGCCTTCACACCCTTGCACGCAGCAGTCCCTACCTGGAAGCTTCGGGTCTCCGCCCGGGACCCTTCCTCTGAAAGGCCTTCTCCTGCCCGTCACTCTATTTATAGCTTCTGTATTACCGAACATTATCCTCTGTATTCTTTCCTTGTTTATTTCTGCCTGCATCTCCAAAATGTAACCTGAGTGAGGGCAGGGACTGTATTCTTCTTGTTAACAGAGGAGTTCCAGCGCTTAGAACAGGGGGCTTGATGGGTAAGAGAGAGAGAAAGCTCGTAATTTTAAATCATTTACCCACACAGCAACTCCCTGTGGGGATCCCAAATGAATCCCCAGGAAGAGGTGCACCGAGTCACAGCTCCCAAACCACAGGGTGATCCTCAAAGGTTACAGAGCAAATTCTAAACTCCAAACACGGGAGGACAGTACTTGCAACTCGCCCAGGGGGCCAGCAGGTGGCGCGCGGAGGCCACCCACCGCCTGGCTTTGCAGCGCTGCCTGCACTTCCCAGCTCCCCGGTCGAAATCCACCCGGAAGTACTGCTGCGGACCCGGTGAGTGTTTTCTCCTTCCCGCCCCCCTATCGACCGTGTTCGCGGGGTTCGCAAGCTGCGCAGACGCTGAGGTTTTAAAGAGAACCCTGGGCACCCCCTCCCCACGCAGGTGTTAGAGTTATTTTCTTATCAGAATTCCGGTACTTGCCTGTGGGTCACGTTGAACTGTTTACATGTAGATTAAGAATCACATCCAGCCCTAGTCGGTGTGGGTCAGTGGGTAGAGCGTGGACCTGCGGACTGAAGGGTCCTGGGTTCGATTCTGGTCAAGGGCACATGCCCGGGTGGGCGGCTGGATCCCCAGTGGGGGGCGTGCAGGAGGCAGCTAATCAATGATTCTCTATCTTTCTCCTTCTCCCTTCTCTGAAATCAATAAAAGTATATTTTTAAAAACTTCCAGGAGCTGGCGGGAGGAGTGCAGGCATTTGGGTCTTTGCAAGCTAGGCCAGCTGATTCCAGCATAGCCAGGTGGGGGAGACTCTGGGCTGAACCAGATCATCACAAAGGACCAACCATCCCAGCTTTAACCCTCTACTTCCTTCCTAGCACGTGGCGTTAAACTAAAAATGGAAACTTGAAAACACCGAGGAGGAATGCTGCTGTGGATCACTTGGCCAGAGAGCATATTTTTGCATCGGGGACAGAGCCTGGGCCGTGTCTCTCTCTCTGCCCCACCACTGACTCCCAGGTCTTTGCTCTGTGGACACAGGATGGACAGGTTCCTGGTGAAGAGGGCCCTAGGGGGCCTTGTGGGAAAGAGGGAGCAGGAGCAGACAGGAGCCGGCCCAGCTGAGTTGGGAGAAGACGAGGAAAGCACCAGGAAGAGGCCCAGGAGAGAAACGCCGGGGAATGGTGCTGACGTGGCCGGCCTCAGCTGGCAACGCATTCGATCCGAGGGCCTGGACTGCGATTACACAGTCCTGTTTGGCAAAGCCGAAGCGGACGAGATTTTCCGAGAGTTGGAGCAAGAAGTGGAATATTTTACAGGTAAGCAGGGGACTGCCGGTATGTGCTAAAGGCTTGCTCGACAAAACTAGTCTATGTTTGGAGAAATCGGAACTCAGGAACCATTAATTACTGATGAGTTTAATTGATTCAACACATATTCTTCGGGCCCCTGTGGGCCAAGATCCTCGCTAGGCGCTTGGGATAAAAACTTAAACAGGATTGCCTGCCCACAGGGGGCTGACAGACAACTAGAAGGAACCTCCATTGGGAGAATCATCTGGAAAAGTTGAAAAAGAAAAAGATGCTGAGTTCTGACCGAGGTCAGTTGAATCGGAGTAGCTGGGGGCACAGCCTGAGCATCAGTGTTTTCAGAAAGCTGCCAGGTGAATCCAACGTGCAGCCAGGGCTGGGAGCCACTGGCCCAGGAGAGACAGCAGATGGCCGGGTAATTCTGCAGTGCTCTCAGCATCACCAGAGGACTCTGTGGCTTTTAACTCCAGTGGCTGGGCCCCACCCCACAGTCTAGTGTCTGAATTCTCAGGTCATGGAGAGGCTGCTGGGGTACCACGCAGTGAGAACCAAGGTGGCAGAGCACTGGGAAGCTTGGGAAAGCCCACAGGGGACCCCAACCTACAGACGAAACCGTACTGGCCCCACCTTTCAGGGGGTCCTATACCCTTGGTCTCCACTGTGGGCAAAATCACCCCCATCAGTGTGTATCAACCCCTAACTTTATCTCGCTCACATCTCAGCCTCTTTATCCTGTTCCTACTGTAGTTAAGGTGATTAAGTTATGGTGTTTTTAAAGTAATTGGAGCAGGACCATGTTTCTCTAAGTGTAGGACAAGAATCGCTGTTTTTTTAAAAATATATTTTTATTTAGAGAGGAAGGGAGAGAGATGAGAAACATCAATGATGAGAGAGAATCACTGATCGGCTGCCTCCTGCACGCCCCCTACTGGGGATCGGGCCCACAATCTGGGCATGTGCCACAATGACTTTTGAGGAGGGGTCCTTGGTCAGGTTATTCAGTTATTCCTGCCCTGGCTAGGTAGAGGAGTCGTTAGGGCATTGTCCTGATATGTCAAGGTTTCAGGTTCGACCCCAGGTCAGGCCATATACAAGAATCAACCGCCCTAACCGGTTTGCCTCAGTGGATGGAGCGTCGGCTTGAGGACTCATGGGTCCCAGGTTCGATTCCGGTCAAGGGCATGTACCTGGGTTGCAGGCACATCTCCCGTGGGGAGTGTGCAGGAGGCAGCTGATCAATGTTTCTCTCTCATTGATGTTTCTGGCTCTCTGTCCCTCTCCCTTCCTCTCTCTAAAATCAGTCAATAATTTTTTTAAAGTTACCCTGCATCCTCAGGTAGTGAGTGTGTAGGCACCCACCTGCCCAGGTTTCTGAGCTGCCATGCTTCATCTGCAGGTGCGCTGGCCAAGGTGCAGGTGTTTGGGAAGTGGCACAGCGTGCCAAGGAAGCAGGCGACGTACGGCGACGCTGGGCTGACCTACACGTTTTCAGGCCTCACTCTGTCTCCAAAACCCTGGATCCCCGTTCTAGAGCGAGTCCGGGATCGTGTTTCTTTGGTGACTGGGCAGACCTTCAACTTTGTGCTCGTGAACAGGTGATGCCCTACTTGTCTTTTACTTTTGCTTTAGGCCCCTGCACTGAATTTTATCCATCTCTGCCTCTTCCAAAGGGACAGTTTAGGATTTCCTCCATATTCGATTCCTTTGCACAGCGGGTAACTCCTTCGTGCATGGGGCTGTGGTTGGTGGTGGAGTGGCGTGAACAGTCAGTCTCCCTGGAGCTCATGCCGCAGGGGAAGGGAGAGGTGATTCACAGATGAACAGTTGAACGAGATCATTTCAGACGCCGATAAGTGTCTTGCTGATTTGACCAAGAATGGCCGGCAGGAAGGGGTCTGGGTTCAGGGCAGGGTTTCTCAACAGGATGTTTTGGGCCAGATAATTCTGTGGTGCGGACTGTCCTGTGTATTGTAGGGAGTTGAGAGCAGCATCCCCGGCCTCCACCCACTAGATGCCAGTAGCAACCTTCCCGTCATTGCAACCAAAAGGTCCCCAGACATTGCCCAGTCCCAGGGTGGGGCAGAATCCTCCAGGTTGAGAGCTCTGGGTTTAGGGGATGGTGGTGAGAGGAGGGCTCACAGAGGCGCTGACTTTTGCACTGATAACTAAATGGAGAGAGAGCAGGAGCCACACAGCCACTGCCGGGGAAGAGCAGAGGTATCTTGGTGTCTATGGAGTGAAAAATCCCATTGATAGTTCCAGAAAGCAGTGAATGAGGGAATGGGGTCTGGGGTGAGCTCAGAGGTGGGCAAGGGCCAGACTGTGAAAGGAATAAGGATTTTATCTAGGTGTAGGGACTTTGTTATTAATCCTCACCTGAGGATTTTTTTTTCCATTGATTTTTAGAATGTGGAATGGAGGGAGGGGGAAAGAAGAGAGGGAGAAACATTGATGTGAGAGAGACACTTCAATTGGTTGCCTCCTGCACGTGCCTGACCAGACTGGGGAATTGAACCTGTAACCCAGGTATGTGCCCTTGACCAGAAATCGAACCCACAACCCTTCCGTGCGAGGGCTGACACTCTAAACCAGGGGTCCTCAAACTTTTAAAACAGGGGGCCAGTTCACTGTCCCTCAGACCGTTGGAGGGCTGGACTATAGTTTAAAAAAAAACTATGAACAAATTCCTATGCACACTGCACATATCTTATTTTGAAGTAAAAAAACAAAACGGGAACAAATACAATATTTGTATTTGCCTGTGGCCCGCGGGCCGTAGTTTGAGGACCCCTGGTCTAAACACTGGCCGGGGCAGGGAGAGACCTTTTCATGAGGAAGGTTTACATATGTGAACCGGGAGAACTAGAAAACATGTTTTGGCTTCTATGGGTTGTTGACTTTTAAAGCATGTGATCAATGAGGACTGGGTAACACAGTGGAAAGGCTCTAGGCAGGGCTCACCCGCAGGCCTAGGTAAGGCCTCGCAGGAACAGGCATGCCGGCAGCGGCTTTTCACGGTGAGAACAAGAGGATGCTCCGTGTTGGCGCGTTCCAGGAGCGAGCTGTGCTGTGAGCTGTGCCTGCTTCCTCACTGCAGGTATAAAGACGGCTGCGACCACATCGGGGAACACCGAGATGACGAAAGAGAACTGGCTCCCGGGAGCCCCATCGCCTCCGTCTCCTTTGGGGCCTGCAGAGACTTCTTCTTCCGGCACAGAGATGCTCGAGGGAGGAGCCCCTCCCGGAGGCTGGAGGGGGTCAGGCTGCCACTGGCCCACGGGAGTCTACTGATGATGAACCCCCCGACCAACTCTCACTGGTATCACAGCCTCCCCGTCCGCAAGAAGGTTCTGGCTCCGCGCGTCAATCTGACCTTTCGTAGAATTCTGCCTACTAGAAAGTAAAAACATTTTCCGGTTAGCACTTCTGTTTTCTGTTTCCTCTCGACTCGAGGATGGAGCTGACATTGCCTTTACCAACAGGGAAAGAAAAGGTTTAACGTTACATAACAATTCAGAAAGAGGATGTTTCTATCACATCAGTACGTGATGAAATAGCCTGGCTCAGTCGGTAGGAGCGTAGTTCCATCCACTGAAAGGCCCCAGGTTCGATTCCTGGCCAGAGCACATGCCTACATTGCAGTTTCGATCCCTGGCTCCAGCTGGGTGCATGGTCAGGGCAAGTGTAGAAGGCAACCGATCAATGTTTCTCTCTCACATCAATGTTGCTCTCATTCTCCTTTCAACCTCTCTCTAAAAACCAATGAAAATGTCCTCGGGTGAGGATTTAAAAAAATAAATTATGAAAGAATACCAGTTGATTTTTTCCTGAAAATGATTCTTTTATTGCTATAATACACAGCAGATACAAAAGGTACCTTTAGCAAGTACATAAATCAGCAGTTATTATGGCATAAACTACTACTTTAACTTAGGTTTTTCCAAAAAGAAGCTGTTTTGTAAATAACTTAAAACTAGAAATAAGATTATTTGGCCGCTACTTAATGCCTGATAATTTACAAAATGAGGAAGTCAGCTTTATGTCGAGTTAAGCGACTCTGCACAGTATCATTTTACAACCTTGGCTCCCACCCAGGCCTGACCAACAATCTGCTTACAACGTGTTCAAAGGATCAGCCCCTCCATGCCCGGCATCTCTCTTTAACGGCAGGTTTCCAAGAGCAGCAGTTACTCAAAGCTACAGGTTTGCAGTGCAGTGTAAGGTCACACGACTGGGTATCTGTTCCACCAGCCTTGGGTAACACAGGTAGGTCCACTCGTTTCAACATCAAAGCCAGGGTCTGCCACGGAGTCAGGAGGGAGCAGCAGTGAATGGATGGACCCAACGCTTCCAGCTGCTCCCTTCACCCCGCCGGCCATGACCTGGAGAACCTTCACAGTATGTTCTATCCGTGATGAGAGTCTGCGTCCTCAGGATGCAAGCTGGGCCTGGTGGGAGCGTGGCCTCTTGAGCTGTTAGCTGACACCCAGGCATCGTCTAGAAGTGTCCGCCTGCTCGCCCCCACCAGAGGAAGTGCAGGTCCTAGACTTACCTCAGGTGGCCTTGTGGGTAGGTCTGATTCCAAATCTTCTCTCTGAAGAGTCCATACGAATTTGGTATCCTTTTTCTTTTTTTTTAACACACACAAAAAAAATCTAGCTAAAACACAGATACTCCCGTGTCATCAAAATGCCTTCTGCCCTGGTCTGTGTTCGTGAGACTTAACTGAAGAGGGAAGAGAATGCTCACCGCAGTCTCTCTGTATTAGGCTGCTGGGAACAAATACATTTAGGATATGGACCTATAACAGAATGACAATACTAGGTGCCACCTGTAGTTGTGTTTAAAAAATAACTTGGACATCTTTTTGTGGAAAAGCCTGGCCTTGGATGGTCACTGAATCTAACCCTTTACTTTATGATGCGGAATCAGGTCCATGGAGATTGCAGCCCCGGGGTCAGTGCCTTTCCTTCCGGATCAGGCTCTCAGATCCAGGCAGGGCTGTCTTCCTACGCAGCCCTGGCCCCACCTGTAAGTCTTACGAGCCCCGCACGAGCAATAAATAAATGGGTGAGAATAACTGTCCAACTGGGTCTCTGTGTGAGAAAGGGTCTTCTACAGAGCAGAGGGGTCGCAGGTGAGCCGATGCCGCTCCGTTCTGGCTGTTGAGGCGGGTGTATAACCCACCCAGTCCCATACTGAAGGTAAAAGCAACAAGTGAGCCGGTCACTAGCACCGACGCGGTCGTGAACGGGTTCCCCGAGGGGCAGATTTGGCAGATGAGCTTTCACTGGATATAAAGGGTCGGAAGGCTAGAAAAAGACATAGAAAAAGGAAAGGCAGGTGTCTGTAGGCATCCGTCACCTGTCCTTCAGCCAGCCACTGAGAAACCTGGAAGAGAGCTTTTCAAAAAGTGTTGCTGCAGCTCTTAGAGCAAGTGCGTTTTCCAGAATGGACATGCTACAAAAGCAACCGGAAGTGAAAGGCACTTTTTCTTCTAAATTGTTGCCTTCAATAATTTCACTAACTCTTGTCAACAATTTTCAGATGGGCCTGCTTATTAAAAATAAAAGATCTGTGCTGAGACATCCGAGGACGTGACAAAGTTAACGCCCCTCGGAGAACACCTAGCGTATCAGAATATAAAAACGATGTTTCCCGGAGTCTGATTTCTTTTAATCACCTGTATGAGGTGCAAAAAGGTGCTGTAGACATACGAGTGCTCTGCTAACACGACGACGAGGACACCTTGCAGGGCGCACTAGTGAGCGGCTCCGGGCGGTTTGGTTTGCGTTGGGGCCACCTGCTCCCGGGGGGAACCTGCTCTCAGAACACACCAGGAGGCGGGGACTCTCGTGGGGCTGCCTGCACACACCCGCGGCCTGGCTTCGTGGTCTTCCTGACGGCGTGGGCAGCGCCATCAGGTCTCGCTCTGGGGCCGGCTCAGTCACTCTTCAGACTTGTACTCCCGGCTCTGGTGCATCTTGGAAAGCACGCGCTCGTAGAACAGCAGGTAGGCGCTGGAGGACAGGACCTCCTGCAGGCTGGCCTTGCGGACGGTGTCGTCGGAGACCCACAGCCACTGGTTGCTGGTTGAGAGAGGGTTCTTGGCCGAAGGCGGGGACCGTCGGTAAGTCACGAAGTGTCCGGAGTGCATGTCTCCATGGTGGACGACAACCGCCATCAGCCGGAAGAGGTACGTGGAGGAGCTGACCGGTAGGAACAAATGCCAGTGGTTTACAAAAGCGAAAAGTAAAACAACCCTAGATAGTCAACGACAGGGGGCTGATAACAATGGTCCAGCCGTACAAGTGAATGCTACACAACCATTAAAACACAGACCTGTATTTACTGGTACGATGCCCATTCTATGAGCGTCTGTGTAAGTGCGCACGCACACATTACAGAGTGGAAGACATTAAGGATTTAACTGGTGATCTAGGTGGTATCCCAAGATATTAAAAGTTTTCTGCTTTATACTTTTTCTACATACATTCATACATGTATGCACCCATACACATAACATATTTAAATTTTATAATTCTTATATTTATAGTGACTTCCATTTTGGACAGAAATAAACTGGAAGGCATAATAATGAAGTTCCACCTATAAATGAAAGACAGCCATCTCCACACTCATTCACTTCGTGAAGAGCTAACTTTGGAAACCCAGAGAAACAGCAGCCTCCACGGACTGAAGGCTGCCTCTGAAGAGCGGCTCACCTGTAGTCCGGAACCACCGGGAGGGGGAAGGGCATTGGGGCTGGCAGGGTGGGCAACAAAGATGGGGAGCAGGCACCATTCATAAAGATTTGGGTTCTGGGGCCCCCTGGCTGATTCAGAACTGCAAGAGAAAAAGGCCCGAGGCAGTTTAAATTAGCAACGGGTGTGGGTAAGCAAAACATGGTTTGGATTACTGATTACGCTGAAATGTAACTACCCAATAATGCTGCAAAGAAAATATATTTATTTTTGTTACTGTAAAGTTTGCTGCCTTTTTGTCCCTGTTTTAATCACCAACAGGAAAAGCACATGGAGCTCCAGGTCACTGTTCACTCTGACGGTTTTGTAAATCGCTGTCCGCTTAAGGGGCCGGGTCAGAATTAAGCAGTAGCTACGTGACTGGTATTTTGACCTAAACCTGCAGTTTCTCAACCTTGACATGATCGACATGTGGGATGGATAATTCTGTTGTGGGGCCTCCCTGTGCATTGCAGGATATCTAACATCATCTCTGGCCTCTACCTTCTACATTCCTGTGACACCCCTCTCGGCCAGAAATGTCACCAGCCACGGCCCAATGTCCTCTGGGAGGCAAAATTCCTTGTTTCGAACCACTGACCTAAACCTCCTCTCTCCTTTCATTGTCAGCTTCTAAGGAATACCAGCATGTAACAGTGTTCACACGTGCTCATGGCAGTAGGTACAATAATTAAGGAGATATTTCCATCTCATTTCCTCTCAAGTGTCACATGGGAGGGGCTTTAGGTACAAGGAGTTCACTGTTGGCCTCTTTAACCATGGCCACCACGGGGTGACCGTGAGCAGACCTGCACTCCCACCCGGGAAGACGGTCGGGACTTGAGTGGGAGCATGAGGGAGTGGTTCAGGCTTGGAGCGCTTAACATCGGTGGGCTTCCTCATCTCTAACTCTGAAGTTCTCTACAGAGGATATCAGATGCCTTTATAACACTGCCCAGCACTGCCTTCTAGTGCCCGTTCCCTGCTGTTGGCCTGGGACCAATCATTTCACCTCTTGGCGCCTTGATTTTCTCCTCAGTGAGACTGAGGATAATAAAAGCATCAATCCCAGTGAGATGTTCAGTGATCTCTACCCAGGACATTTCTTCCCCACACTTTCTGTATAATTGAGATGACTGTGCTAAGGGGGAAAATAGAAGAAATTCACTGGGCCTGGCTGGTGTGGCTCAGTTGGTTGGGCATCATCCCCTGCACTGAAAGACCACAGGTTCCACTCTCAGTCAGGGCACATGTCCAGGCTGCGGGCTTGATCCCCATTGGGGGGCCAGTAGGGGCCGGGTAGGGTGCAACTGATCAATGTTTCTCACATCAA